CGCCTCATGATTGGTTGAACTTGCCCGGGGATCAGAGGGTATAAATAGAGGCCTGCGTGCCTCTGCTCTGGTTGTTCGTAGAGTGGAGCAAACAATAAAGACTTGTTGGAGATGATTCGTCTCAAGCGCCATTATTCCCAGGACTTAACACTGGCGACGAAGGTGGGATTCAGTCTCTACAGCTAAGAAAAGCTAGAAGGCTCACCCAAAGAAGTCCGGGAAAGAAACGGCGTGGAAGTCAGCGTTATCCTGCCAGTACGAAATCGCTGGAGGGTGCGTGCGACTGAAGAAGAAGAAAACTTGATCATCGATCATGGATAAAGTCGGGCAATTAGAGGAATTCGACGTCTCTCACTCCGAGAGGTGGGAATCTTATATAGCAAGAGTCGAGACGTATTTTCGCATAAACCAGATTTGAGAGGAAGGCTTAAAGGCTGCCACATTGTTGTGCGTTTGTGGGCTAGACGCCTTTGAGATCGCCGAGAGCTTAATCTCCCCAGACTCGCTGGAAACGGTATCGTACTCCGACCTTAAGAAAACCTTAAAGGAACACTTCCAGCCCAAGCAATCAGTCATGGCTTGGAGGCACACATTTCAACAGAGAGATCAGCGAGTTGGAGAATCAGCAAAAGACTACGTTGCGGCCTTGAGAAGAGCAGCTAAACCGTGCGACTTCAAGGACTTAGAAGAAAGGCTTCGCGATCGTTTTGTATGCGGACTGAAAAACACAGAATTGCAGCAGAGACTGTTCGCAAGGGAAGATGTTTCCTTCCAAGATGCTCTGTGAGAGGTTTCGGCTGAAGAAGCTGCCAGCGGGGCGGTCAAGGACATGCGGCCCAAGAGAAACGCTCCTGAGACCGCCACTATTCACAAGGAAGACGTGCGCGAGGAGTCGGACGAAGATCCTGAAGAAGAGGTGGATAAGCTTTACCAAGCTGCTGGAAGAAAGCCCAAGGATCGTCAGGACAAGGGCCCAGATGAGCTTCGTTGCCTCGGATGCGGTGGACGCCACATGCGAGCTGAATGCCGGTTTCATTCCGCCATTTGCCGAGCGTGCGGGAAGAAGGGCCACATCGCGGCGGTCTGCCTGGGTCGACAGAAGGTACAACCGAAGGAAGAATTGAATCTGAAAGGTACCAGGGTGCCCAACCAAAACAGGGTGGGGTTCTGTGCAACACGCCGGAACATTTTAAGAATAGGCACACACAAACCCCTTAAAAAGAAACTAACACTTAAAGTGAAATTGCAGGGAATTCCATTATCAATGGAACTTGACACAGGGTCTGCCCTATGCATAATTTCCCTCAATACATTTCACAAAGTCTGCAGCAGCAGTGGCCAGAAAGTTTCCCTAAGGCCCTCTAATGTAATCCTTACGGATTTCCAAAATTCTAAAGTGTGTGTTAAGGGGGATGCAAGAATTTTGCAGGCCCCCTAGACGTGTTGGTTGTAGGGGGTGAACGAACAAGTCTCATTGGACTCGATTGGTTTGAGGCCTTGGGAATTCAGGTAATTGGACTGAATAAATTGCAAACACAGACCCTTGCTGACGTATGCAAGGAGTTTGCAGATGTGTTCAGCTCTGAACTTGGGTCCTACACGGGACCTCCTGTTTCACTTAAGTTGGATCCAATGGTACAGCCCATCAGGGTTAAGCCTAGGAGGGTACCATTCGCTCTTAAGAGCAAGATTGACACTGAGCTGGACAAGTTGCTCCAGCAAGGTATTCTAGAGCCTGTAGATTCCAGCCCGTGGGAAACCCCCATTGTAATGCCTTTAAAGGCAAACGGGGACATCCGGATTTGTGCTGACTACAAATGCACACTAAACAAGGCCCTACAGCAACATGCTTATCCTGTGCCTGTAGTGAGCCACATTTTAGCTTCCCTTAAGGAGGGAAAAATTTTTACTAAGCTTGATTTGGCTCAGGCATATCAACAGCTGCCTGTTGATGAGGCTGCAGCTGAGGCCCAAACTATTGTCACCCATCGTGGGGCGTTCAGGGTGAAGAGGTTACAGTTTGGGGTGAATGTCGCTCCTGGCATTTTTCAAAGTGTAATGGAAAACACTCTGAGGGGTATTCCTGGTGTATGTCCTTACTTTGATGATGTTCTCATCGCAGGTGACTCTCCACAAGTGCTGGCTGAGCGGTTAAAGGCCGTTTTCCTTCGTTTCCGGAAGGCAGGTCTTAAACTAAAACAGGACAAATGTAAGATTGGTGTTCAATCCACTGAGTTCTTAGGTTTTAAGATAGATGCACAGGGTATTCACCCATCTGATGCTAAGCTCAAAGCTATTCAGAAGGCTCCAAGCCCCAAGTCTAAGGGCGAATTGCAAGCCTTCTTGGGCTTGTTGAATTTCTATCNAAGTAAGCAGTGGGGTACCACAAGGCTCCGTCTTAGACCCACTACTTTTCAATATATTCATCAATGACTTAGATGAGGGAATAGAAGGGAAACTCATCAAATTTGCAGATGACATCAAACTTACAGAAGTAGTCAACACCCCAGAAGACAAACTCAGAATCTAAAAAGATCTTGACAAACTTGAACAATGGGCCCTATCCAACAAAATGAGTTTTAATGTGGAGAAGAGCAAAGTTTTACATCTAGGCAGGAAAAATCAAAGGTACAAGTACAGATTGGGTGAGACCTGGCTTAAAAACAGTAACTGTGAGAGGGACCTTGGAGTCCTAGTGGACGATCACTTGACTATGAGCCAGTAGTGTGCAGCAGCAAACAAAAAAGCTAATACAATCCTGAGTTGTACAAACAGAAGCATAGAATCAAGATCACACGAAGTATTAGTATGACCACACCTGGAATACTGCAGCCAATTTTGGTCACCATATCACAAAAAAGATGTTGAGAGTTTGGAAAAAATTCAGAGAAGAGCAACTAAGATGATCAAAGGCCTGGAGACTAAAGCATAAGAAGAACAGCTGTGGGACTTGGGTTTGGCTAGTCTAAAGCAGGGCTTTTCAACCTTTTCACCCATTGTGCCACTTTTAGGATATGGCAACATCCGAGTACCACCAGTCGCCTAGCAAGGTGTCAAAAACCTGATGACACCCCCCCAAAAAAGGAAAAAAGTGATAAAGTACAGGTAGTCCTCGACTTACAACAGTTTGCTTAGTGACTGTTCGAAGTTACAATGACACTGAAAAAAGTGCCTCCCAAGCCACAGCTGAGCAAGACACCTGCCTGCCCACCTGGTGGCGCTCTTCCTCCTGTCTGAGGTTTTCATTGCTGTGAGCATTTCTGTTGAGGATTGGCAGCGGGGGTGGGGTGGGGTGTTTGGTTTTTATTCCCCCCATCGGCTGGGTGGTTGTAGCAGGTTTTGGTCACTTCACATGACCCTGGGACACTGTGACCGTCATAAATATGAATCAGTTGCCAAGCATCTGAATGTAAATCACAAGACCCTGGAGATGCTGCAACATTCCAGCTGATCGGCGCTTCTTCTGGGCTCAGCAGAAGCGCCAGGATCAGTGCTGCTTTCCAGCTGATTGGTGCTTCTTCAGGGCTCAG